CGATCCTGTTCTGTTGGGAATGTGGCAAGTGCGGCACCCGGACCATCGATTGCTGTCGCCAGAACACGTCGGGAAACGACTCGCGTCCTCGACTGATACGGGATCAGCCGGGAACGACGTCTGCCCCGACCCACGAATAAAAACCCCGCTACACATGAACGAGAACCGGATAGTGGCAATGGTAACAATAGGAGGACAGGCAACGGAAGCCACCGTCGACACAGGGGCATCCCGAAGCTTTATCAGTGCAAACCTCGCCCGACAACTGAGCAACAACACCAATCTACAAGATGCATGCGTCCGCATACGCCTGGCCGACGGCTCGGTCAGAGAGATCACCCAGATTCTACTGGCGCACATCAGACTGGATCAAAGAGAAGTTCAAATACCCCTCCTTGTCCTACCAAACATGTTGGATCAAGTTATCGTCGGCATGGACTTCCTATGCGCCATTGAAACAACGATCCAGTGCGGTACCACACTTCTACAATTACGAGATCAGTGCCACACACCACATATCCACACCGTTCCGACCAACAGAGTACAAGGCAACGAACCCCGACACCAGAAACTGAAGCCAACGGCGGCCGTCATACGTCCGCAACCTATCCCAACAATTTCGGCACCCAGCCACGCCAACATGACACCCATACAAACCTCAGCGAACACACGACCACGACCTACCCCAACGAACAAAACGACCCAGATCGCCACGAAGAACACGACACCCAGCCCAGCCCCAGCAGAGGCAAAGCGCCGGCCCACGAACATGAAGCCGAAACCAACAACACGAAACAACAATCAAGCAAACGGGAAAACGAGTCCCACGGTCACTACGGAGCAACCGCGTCCTAGGCCAACCACAGGGGACACATACCCCAAAGCAACTACGAGAATCTCACCCACGAGACAAGCACTAACGCACTGGAACCCGGCGCTCGACACAGGAAGCCCAGGTCCAAGTCCAGCAACAGAGCATGTAAGTACCCTCTCCTCCCAGGAGAAAGTGAACATAGAAACACCCTCAGAGACGACAATCAGCCCTGAACCAAGACAACAAAATCGACACCGACAACGGCAGCAACAGATCAACAGCCCAGCAACAAGGGAAACAGCCACGCTGACCCCACCCTGGTCGGGGCCCATAATTGAACTGATATCCACAGAGCCCCTCAACGCGGGCCCGGAAACCAGTACGATGGCCCCACGATACACCGACCGCAGCCCTGTCGTACCCACGGCCGACGCCACACCGATCCTCGCCCACACAATGGAGTACCTTCCGCGTACTGACATGATTTTTAGCGTCATGCACCGAGCCATGCCTAGAGCCATGTCCGAGATCTTCGTCGCCCATACAAGTCGTTGTTGTGATACCAGAGGCGTCATCGCGACTCACCTGTTCACGTACCAGTCTGGCTGTAGTATAACACGAGTACTACACCCGGCGTACCAAAACATCATACCCATGGTCGACACCACACCCATCGTCGCCCACATAAGCGACTAACAACGGAGGATCGAACCGCCCAGCGCCTTCGATACAACCCTCTTACCCGAAGACCCACGCCAACCACTTGACTCTGAAGCCGCCGACCCAACAGAACATGAGCCTGAACCAGTCCCGGAGCCGTGGCCGCCAGACTTAGCCCCGCTGATCCAAGCATTTCTAGATGAGGAGCTACCAAAATTTGATGGCCTCCACGGGACGTCGGACATCGCCAAGCACACTATTGTCATGAGGGATAACCGGCCCATAAAACAGCGGTACTATCCTAAGAACCCAGCAATGATGCGAATAATTGATGAACAAGTGGATCAATTGATTTCGGAAGGCCTCATCGAGCCCTCCCGGAGCCCCCACAGCGCCCCAATTGTTCTCGTCCGTAAAAAGAATGGGAAATGGCGCATGTGCGTGGACTACCGGCAACTCAACACGCATTCCATCCCCGACGCATACCCGCTGCCGAGGATCAACTATATTTTGGAACGGTTACAGAACGCGCGGTTCATCACCACCCTCGACCTGAAAAACGGATACTGGCAGATCCCCATGGCCGACGGAAGTAGAGAAGCAACAGCTTTCACCGTACCGGGCCGGGGCCTCTACCAATGGAAGGTTATGCCCTTTGGACTGCACTCGGCACCGGCAACATTTCAGCGGGCTCTCGACACCGTGATTGGTACAGACATGGAGCCATATGCATTCGCGTACCTAGATGACATTGTCATCGTGGGGCGAGATTTCAACGAACATCTACGCAACTTGAAAGTGGTTTTGTCCCGACTCCGGAAAGCGAACCTAAGGATAAATGCGGAAAAATGCGCGTTCTCTCAAACCCAAATCAAGTATCTCGGCCATATGATCAGCAATGAGGGAATCCACACCGACCCCGACAAAATTGCCGCCGTCAAAGAACTCCGACCGCCCACCAACCTAAAAGAGCTTCGTCAATGCATCGGGATGGCGTCCTGGTACCGAAGATTTGTAACAAACTTTGCGACGGTCGTCCAACCGATGTCTCGCCTACTCAAGAAGGACCAACCATGGGTATGGTCCGGGAACTATATCGACATCTGGGCCATGGCGCCGACGACGACGACCATATAGCATGGAAACTCTGCGTAGCAAAAGATCAACGAGCCAGAATACTTCACGAATGCCACGACCAACCCACAGCCGGCCACCTAGGGGTCAGGAAAACCATCATCCGAATATCCCAACGGTACTATTGGCCAGGTTTCTACCGAGACGTGAGGAAATATGTCCGCGGCTGCGTAAGCTGCCAGAAGTTCAAAGCTTAACAGCGCAAGCCGGTGGGACGGATGCTTACTCGCAAAGCCGAAGAGCCATTCGCTACCCTATGCGCTGACTTCGTTGGACCACTACCTCGATCAAAGAAAGGAAACACGATGCTGCTCGTCTTCTTTGACACTTTCACGAAATAGGTCGAATTGGTACCATTTAAAAATGCCACCACCACTACCCTGGAACTGGCTTTTTGACAACGAATACTGAGCCATTTCGGCATACCCAAACGCTTTGTGTGCGACAACGGCACGCAATTCACGAGCCGATCGTTTCGGTCATTTCTACAGACAGCAGGAGTAGAACTGCAACATACCGCACCGTACTGCCCCAGGAACATCGAACGGAAAGGGCAAATCGGACGGTCAAGACCATGATTGCCCAACTCGTAGGGGATCGCCAAAACACCTGGGACGAATTAATACCGGAAATATCGCTAGCAGTAAATTCCAGCGTCTCTGCGACAACGGGATTCAGCCCAGCTTTCCTACTGCATGGAAGAGAGCCCCGTTTGCCTGGAACGCTTTATGACGAAGTCACGATAGGGAGCCCTCCAGAGACCGCTATGGGATCTATGGGACTATGGGATCGTCACAAGCAGTCGGAGCAACCAACGCTATTCCGAAGACGCGGCAAAGATCGAAAGACAGAAAGACGTCGACCGAGGAAAGAAAGAAAACCGAGAACTCAGAACACGCGCGGCCAATCGACGGAAAGGCGCGGGCTAAGATTATATAACCGGCTCCCACCACAGCAAAATCAAGTAAACAAAGCTCTCAAATGACGAGGTCAACACGAAATCAACCTCAGCATATGCGCGGCCAGCAGTCAGGAAAACCGAAGACTCAGCGCGCGTGCCATCGAACATCAAGGAAATGGGAAATGGGGCTTGTCGCAGTGGGTCGACAGTATCGGGCGCTGAGCAATTGTAGTGGCTGTTGTTGTTGTCGATATTAGCAAATCGCTGGTTAGGCAGTACGAGTCGGGGGATGGGCACTGAGCACACCATGACCCACTTTTCAATGCAGGGGAGAGAGAGCGTGCTCTCTCCTTGTTCACTTGCAGTGATGCAGTTTTTGTTGGTACTGCTGCCTTTGGCGAGCATATAGAGTACGCGTTGTTTTTTGCTTCCTGGAGACTGACTTTGGTTACAGTGCTTGTGCTCTTTACCGAGCTGGTGCTCTTATACGTTTACATTTCTTCTTTTCTATTAATCTTTATAACACGATTAGATGGTATTCATGGGCAGCACGATCACTAGTACCCATGCCTACCCCGAGCGATTTTTCGCGAATTAATTTACGATTAATCGCGATTAATTGATTTTCACGTAGGAGCGATACAAAAATACGTCTGAAGTCGTTGACGGTGGACGGTTTTCCCAACAAAAAACAAAAAAAAAAGGTAAAATGTAAAACTTTTTTTAAATTCTAAAATTCTAAAAAATTATAAGCTCTAAAAAGTGTATTTACTGACTGACTACGGGTATAAGTAGAGTCGCGTCCCTAGAAGCGACTCACAAGTTCCTTCTCGTTTTATTTGGTTCTGAGGATCTAGCACAGAATCTACATTTTTAAGACTAGTGCTCAGATCAAAAAAAAACCTCGCGAACATTTGCCATTTTGCCTTTTCTTTCAAAAGCTCTTCAACGATTGCCCTCAACCCAATTAGTAACTATATGGCAAGTAATAAACTGCTTAATGAAAAACAATCGGGGTTTAGGAAAAACAGGAGCTGTATCTCTGCAATGGGGAATTTTGTTTCAAAAACAATTAACCTTTTATTTTAAACTAAGTTTAAAACAACGTCCAAAGAACATTTCGTAAAAACTTCATGAAATATACCAATGCGAACGCTAGCTGTGTCAGAACAAGTAAATTTGCGTACGAATGTAACGTCCGTAACGCAGGATTAGCCCATATTAAGAATATATGTAATTATTTTATTATTCAAGTAGTCAATCGCAAAAGGATTTACGAAGAAGAAATTTCATAAAAATGTTTTTTGGTAACAAATCATCGCCACACTGATTGATAAACCTCGTTTCTTGATTTTGGTTAAGGCTGTAAATATATGTGCTCTCTTCTTTGCATTGCAGTCGTAAGAATTATATACTCCCAGAAAGGTATGCGATTCATGAAAATCCACGACCGCAAATTTGCAATATTACAAGGGTACATATGTATTAATTGTTGAAATTATAAACACCAAGTGTTATTTTTTTAATTTTAAGCGCTCTTATTAATGCGAAACTTTTAATACGAGATTTATTGGATCATAACGAATCATTATGCATCATCTCTTGGAATACCCAAATCTGAATTGGTCCATTTTGATGGGGTAGGGTAGTCAAATTCGCCCTGTAAATTAAAAAACGCTATTAAAATATATATATATATATATTTACAGATAAAGCCATACCGTTATGTGATCGGGTTCATGCCATAAGTGCCAGATTACCCACCACCACATTGCTCCTCCAACGACTACGGCTCCGATTTTAGTCGCTTTTGAATGCTCTGGAGGAGCATTTCGGTAGGAGACACTGAATAATATTATATAAGAAAGCCAACTCATCTAGAATTCATTATAATTAAATACTTACACATGACTACCCCTGTTTACTATTTTATTTCCCAGAATATTACGACCATAACCGACTGCTAGACGGTTGGACAAAATATTACGAACAATATTCATATTATTAGAGTTATAACTTTAACTCTAACAACAAGTTCGATTGACAATTGTATAATTTTAATATCAGTATCGATATTAGTGAACTAGTAAACTAGTGAACTGCAAAGTTTGAAAAGAATTTAAGTAATAGACTTTGAGTTTCGCGGAACAATAAAAAAGGAACAAAAAACAAACATTTCAGTATGCTATTATCGGCATAGATCCGGTTTTTACTTTCCGATTGTCTATTGAAATCGCAAATAATTTGTGCTTCCGTTTTCGAAAACTGCTTACTAGCCGAAATGAAAAGTTAAAGGCATTTTATACAGCAATCCGAATTTTTGGAAGAATTGGAGTCGCGATTGGCTCGCTCATCTACAGCAGCTAGGCTACTAGGACGTTTGCTTGAGCTTCATCCCGGACAGGATTCGTTGGTTCGCGTAGTAACGCTTAAAAATATTTAAGGACAGTTGAAGCGTTCAGTATCGAAACTTTGTCGATTACCGATTCACGCCTAATCGCTCTTTCCCTGACGCACACTCTCATAACCACTCTCTAATCTTATAGTACAACACTTGCGCACACATCTCGTTTTATTTCTCTTTCCTAAAACCGCAATAAAGGAAACAAGGACATTTTCATGCTAGATCTAGCATTTGCGGGCGGCCTGTTCGGTTTTGCACCTTGCATCCCAATGTGGCAAACTCCCCAATCTATGCTCTCTCGCAACATTGTCGCTCGTGTGGACGGCAGCATAAGCCTTGGGAACGAAGTGCACCAGGGAGAGAAGTCAGTCTGCTTGCGAACATAACAGCTACTTAACGCTTCCGTCACTATGGTGTTTTGTGCATTCAATTTATTCACTTTCACAAATAATTTCCGATTTTCATAATTTCATAAATATAATAATACATAATTATAATTGATAAAGGAAAAAAAATAGATGATTTATTGATGCTACAAGTGTATTTCAAAATTTCGCCCGCCAACTTCCGCCCCCACAAAAGACGAAAATCTGTGGCAGGCACAATTTTAAAGATACAATAAAACTAAAAACGCAGTATCGTAGAGAATGACCATATCTACCAGATTATCGAATCTGAATCAGATCGGATCATAATTATAGCCAGAATGTTTTCTGTTGCTTCCTCTGCTTCCCCCTGCCAGAGACACGCTACTCATTCTCTTTCTCGCTCGCACACTCTGCCGCGTTCAGTGCGCGAACAACCCTTAGTGGTGGAGATGTAGAATATGAATGGTACATCTATAATCTACATGTTTGATGTAAAATGTACATTGTAGATGTAGATAACAGATGTAGCAAAAAAATGTAATATGTAAAATTTTTTTTAATTTTCAATTCTAAAAAAGTATAAGCTTAAAAATGTATATACTGACTGAGTACGGGTATAAGTAGAGTCGTGTCCCCAGAAGCGACTCACACGTTCCTTCTCGTTTTTGTTCTATGGCAGATCTTTTTTTTTTGAAGAATTTTTGAAACTTGGTATTTCTTTTAAAGCTATTTTCAGAGGTAAAGCTTCTTTTTTTCACATAACTCTAGTATCTTACTTCTGGTTGTAAAGAACTTTGCTATTTTTTAAATATAATTAAAGCAGCTAGAAGTCCAGCCCAAACACTTTGTGATTTCAGATTACCGTCGGGAAATATAAACCATTGAAATGCATAAATGATGATTTTTATGCGAAATTTTGTTTTTTACAAAATTTTGACTTAAAAAAACAGGGTTTTACATTTGGTACCTGATCGCGATTCCAATTCCTAATTGGCAGTTGGGCCCGCAACCTTCCAAAAGGTATGTTTTTTTAATTTTATCATTTTTTAGGTTTGGCTAACGAATTTTAGCTCCAAAGTTTCACCATAGATTTTAATGAAAAATACCTTTAACGAAGCATAATAAATGCACCTATACAAAAAAAAATAGACGTCACAGGATATAATTTTTTTCGACTTTTCCCGAGTTTTTAAAGTCAAAATTTCGTTAAAAATACCACACAAAATACATAATTTTTGCATTTCAATGCTTTATATTTCCCATACGGTAAGCTAAAATTACAAAGTGTTTGGGCTTACCTTGTAGCTGTTTTAATTATCTTTATCTCTATTATCAGAATAGCAAAATTCTTTACAACCAGACGTAAGATCATAGAGTTATGTGAAAAAAAAGAAACATTACTTCTGAAAAAGTTTAAAAAAATACAAAGTTTCCAAAAATAAAGTCCATTTCTATCAGAAAAAGTCGGTTTGGATCCTTGAGTTAAAAAAGTTGGATTTTGTCGAGTAGTGTTATTTTACAACATCCTACTAAAATTGAAAAGAAATCACGTAAATGTGTATGTGCGTCGTTTATGAGCTGTGGGTGTGGTTGGGAGGTGTGCCTCGTTTTGGGGCAGCGCCCATACCGAATGTTGTCTCAAAGTAAAACTTGATGAGCATCCAAATATTGGCAGAGTCATGTGATAAGTTTTTTGACAATTTTGTATTGTATATTAAGCAAAATTGGAATTATATACCAAGTAAACAAAGATTGCTGGGGGTATATTTTTTAAACACATCGTACTGTTGGCATTCTTTGAACAATTTTATTCATTAATAGCTTAGGTTAGGTTAGGTTAAGGCGGTAGTTGTGGAGAGGGGGAAATCCCCCCACCCCAACTCACTTGGTCCTGCTACAAGACCGTTGTGATGCCGCATGGGTGTGTACCCTCCCCTACAACGTGGTGAGCAATCTGATTGCGGAGTTAAGGGCAGTTCGGACAGGTCCGTCAGTGAGGATGGGAGCCCCAAGAAGCCGTCGCCTACGGTTTCTCAGGGCCGGACAGTGACACAAGAAGAAGTGGTGGACCGACTGCTCCTCCTCCTCGTCCCTGCAGCTTCTACAGAAGTCGTTATGAGGGATTGACAGTCTGGCAGCATGTGTGCCGATCTGCCAGTGTCCCGTGATGCCTCTGATGACGGTAGAGCACTGTACTCTGCTGAGTTTGTAGAGCTCGACAGATCGTTTGCTGCATTCGTCTGTCGGCAATTAGCTCGAAAGCTTCGTGCGTTAGTAGCCTACACGTAGCCAAAGGCATTGCTACCTGCTTCTTCTCCGATAAGAGAGGTGTGGTAGTACCTTGCCTGGCTAGTTCGTTGGCAGCATCATTCCCGTAGATATCCCTGTGTCCAGGAACCCATATTAGGTAGAGATCTAAATTCTCTGTGGTATCATTAAGAGACCTGCGGCATATGTTGACAGTCGTTGAGTTCGAGGATATTGAGCCAAGTGCTCTGAGAGCTGCTTGGCTGTCTGAGAAGAAGTACACTGAGTGTCTGTGTAAAGACACGTTGGAGACACGTTCAACCTCCGCTTGGAACACACTACAGTGATCCGGGAGTCTGAAACAATGACTAATATTGAGCTCGTTACAGTAGACGCCACCACCCACACGGCCGTCTAACTTTGAGCCATCAATGTATATGTGGATCGCATTTGCGGGTCCAGGTTCACCCCTCTCCCAGTCCTCCTTTAGTAGGATTGATACCTGGCGTCGAGAGGTGATCACAACCTCAAAAATGGACTGAAAAAAATGGTCAGGGAAAAAGAAAATAGTGAATTGCTTCGAACAGCTGTGGCAGCCCGAGTTGGCTATCAATAAATCTCTGTTAAACATAACAGGGACCTTTTTGTATGAGCCGGCACTAACGAGTGGGGTTAATAGCAGTAAAATTTGCGTTTAACAGTACAGGGAGTAAACGAATTCACTTTTGTGGATTCCAGAGCACCTTGAAATGAAAATGATGTTTTTTTTTGCTGAAAAGTAAAACTTAAAGTGAATGTGAAAACCGGAGCCTGCCTGGCTGACTGAGTACAGGTATAAAAGTAGAGTCGCTTCCACAGAAGCGACTCACACGTTCCTTATCGTTTTTTTGTGTATAGGTGCATTAGTTCGGCGTCGCTTAAGGTACTGCTCATTAAAGTCTTTTGAGAAACGGATGATCTAAAATGGCTGGCACACCAAGCAATGCTTGTTTTGTCATTTTTGAATTTTCATGTAGATAAATTGGAATAACATACCAAGTAAAAATTGCTTAGTAATATTTGTATAAGGTGGGGTACATTTACTAAAAATATCGTACATTTGGCATTCTTTGAACAATTTTATTTATTAGTAGCTTATTTTGTTAATAGGCTGTTTACATTGGGGCTGCGTCATGCTTCTTTGCGTCTTGCCGGAGACGCAGTTTTTTTTACATAGGTTAAGCATAGGGCCCTAGTGGTGGCAAAAAGTTGCGTCAGTTTCTGATTCATGTGCGTCTATTCGATATATTCGATTGCTTTTGCTCATTTTTGGGATTTTCTGCCTATCAGCGCAACTATCACCACTAATAACAACAACAAAATGTAGATCAAAAACCAAATTTTGGCGCTAAAAATGTATGATTGTGCAAAAAGGTGAAAATATAGATAAAGTCATTAAATAAAATACTTGAAACTGATTGTTTTATTATCGTATGAAATTTTTCTGACCCCTTGATGCCATTAAGACACTGCTGGAGACGAACTTCGGTGGTTTTCATAATTTGAAGAAGAACTCCCACAAACTCTACAATGAAATGTCTGAAAATAATATTTAAATATGAGAATCAATTCTTTTTCGTCCATTTTCCTGACGTCTTGCTTAATTCTGTTGATTTTCAAAAATTTGTGTATCTTTCCTTGTCATCAAACACCCAAATCCAAATTCAAGACGCACGTCTTCCAATGTAAACGCCTTTTCTGCTTCATTGCGTCTATGCCGATATCGATAGCAGACGCGCCCAGTGTAAAAAGGCTATAAGATAGAAGCCGCTAAAAAGTTCACGTCTGAAAATAAAAATATACATTATGATATTTTCGCTATATCATCATGTGTATCTACTATCATTACGTACCAAAAATCCTGTGAAAGGTGGAACTATTTTCTGATCAACCTTGTGTTTTTGTTGATATACGAATTCCGGGTTCTTAGTAAAGTTAATTAAAGGGACCAAAACGTTGGGCCGTTAACGTCCATTGTCTCACCATTGATTTTAATGAGTAATACCTTAACACCCATAGAGAAAATAATAAAGAACCTTGGATATCATTTTTTCCGACTTTTCCTTAAGCCTAGTACTCAGATCGAAAAAAACACCTAGCGAACAGAATCAGGGTTGATATTCGTATGAAACCGATAAGATATGTTTTACGGCAAAAACTGTTTTCCAGTACCACTAACCATACAGTATATAGATGTGCCAGTTCATACAACGAAAGGGGCGCAGCTGAGCTGAGATCCTCGGCTTTGGGATGGCCGCGTTCGGCTCATGACGTCACACGAGCCGACTGGCAGCAAGCATGCATGTGTTGTGTACGTGTACACTCCAAAATATATGATTGTATGCATAGAATAATTTTTAGCTGCCGAAACCGACTTTGTTCGAGATTTCAGTTTGCGTAAACGTGAGTGCCATGTATTCACACATACTGTGCTTGTGTGTGGGCTCTACAATTTTTGGACGCTTGAATTGGTTTTTCGTTTTGTTTTGAGGGCTGATGTGATGTAGCGACCTATTCAGGGCCGGATCAACCCTCAACCGGGCCCTGGGCAACCATCAATCTGGGGCCCTCCTTTATTTTGTGTTTTTCTCAGTGGCTATTATATTTTTTATTCATTATTTGGAGTTTTGTTTTTTCAACAAAATTTTTCTGTTATCCCTAGGAGGCCCTAGGCAACTGCTAATCCGGCCCTGGACCTATTCCCGTCGTAAGACTTCATATTTTCTTGGTGTGTTCTGTAGCTCGACTCGACGCGGGTTGAGGCATTGACGAAGCGGTTCATAAAATATTTTTTCGTTTTGTTTTGAAAAGCTAATGTTGCGACGGGCACGCGGTTCTCTTTTAGGCTAGCTTTTGCCTCTGCTTTCGGCTTCGCAACCATCGAAAAGGTATTTTTTGATCATTTTTTTCATTTTTTAGGTTTGGTTAACGAATTTTAGCTCCAAAGTCTCTCCATAGATTTTAATGAGCAATACCTTGAACGACGCCAAATTAATGCACCTATACACAAAAAAATAGAGGACACAGGATATCATTTTTTTCGACTTTTCCTGAGTTTTTAAAGTCAAAATTTCGTAAAAAATACCGCACAAAAATCATCATTTTTGCATTTCAATGCTTTATATTTCCCAGACGGTAAGCTGTAATCACAAAGTGTTTGGGCTTAGCTTCTAGCTGTTTTAATTATCTTTTTAAAATAGCAAAGTTCTTTACAACCAGACGTAAGATACTAGAGCTATGTGAAAAAAACAAGCGCTACCTCTGAAAAAAGCTTAAAAAAAAATACCAGTTTTAAAAATTCTTCAAAAAAAAGTTCTGACATAGAAAAAAAAAAAATATTATCAAACCAATTCTAAGCCCCAAATCTTTAAGAAAAAGTTCGTTTTGTTCCTTGAGGAAAAATCGTGTTGACTAGTGTAATTTTTCTTTATATAATGCTGCATTAATTAGATTCTATTTGTCTTCATTATTAAAATATTTCATTTGGTTTTTTGTTCTCTTATTGCAATGTTTGCTTCGTGTTTGGTGGCAAAATATATCAAATTAATATCTTTTTCGAAACAAACCAAAAAAACAAGCAAATACTTCTGATACTTTACAGTATATACCGACCTTTTTGTTTTTTGATCTGAGTACTGCATTCCGTACAGAGCCTAGAAAACATTTTTTGCCGTAAAACATTTCTTATCGGTTTCATACGAATATCAACCCTGATTCTGTTCGCTAGGTGTTTTTTTCGATCTGAGTTCTAGGTAGGGTTGGGAAAAAATGGATAGCGCTATCGATACTATCGATGGTTGAAAAATTAGCCAACCATCGATTGTTTCGGTTCACCATCGATAGTATCGATCGGCAGAATGCTTCACTGAGTGAAGTTGGTGAAATGGCTCCAGAAATGCTTACGGCGGATGAATTTTCTATTTTGGAAGATCTGCTAGTGATACTGGGATATTTTGATAGTGCCACCACAAAATGTTCTGCAAAAGAGGTAACAATATACCTGATAATTCCAATCATATGCGGGCTAAATACAGAATTACTCGAATCAACAAAGGCACTAAAAACTAAAGAAGGTAAATAAGTATGCAGTTTTCTATTGGAAAAAATAAATTCCCACTATGATAACCGATCAGTGACCAAAATAGCTACGATTTTAGACCCGCGGTTTAAAAAAGATGGATTCCGGTCTAATAATATAGCACAAAATGCAGTCATTTTAATTGAAAATGAGCTTGCTTCTTTGAAAAGTCAATCTCCCGAAAAACTGCCAATTTCACCAGATGCTCCAGAAGAATGTGAAATGTCCATTAACGATCTACTTTTCAGTTTTTTTAAAGCCAAACACGCTGACAAAGCTGGTTCGAAAAGGGTAGATTCTATCAAAGCTCTTAAAACCTACATGGAGCAGAGCCATCTAAATCAGGACCCTCTTGAATTTTGGAAGGTAAATACAATTAAATTCAACAATTAAAAAGATTAAAATTAGTAATTTTAAAACAATTTATTATTGCAGAATTTTACAGATGAAACCGTTGGCCTTCAACAAATAGCGAGGCACTGTCTGTTTATTCCCGCAACTTCCAGAGAGTCTGAACCAATGTTCAGCAAAGCGGCGGATATAGTTTCCGCAAAAAGGACATTACTAAAAACATCCAATGTGGACAATGTGCTGTTTTTAAACAAAAATATTGATATATAAAATATTTTTAAGTTATTAAACCTTTTGAAATGGATCTCTTTATTTTACCTAATACATAAGACCGTATGAAATACACGTATTATTATTTGTTTTCACAAATTTAGGCTTTGTTTAATGAGGTTTAAAATTTTCCGATACTATCGAGCTTTTCCACCATCGATTGTGGAAAACATCGATGGTGGCCACTATCGATGTTTTCCCAACCCTAGTTCTAGGCTTTACGTATTCCTGGAGTGTGTATCCAGCACCACGAGCGGAATCAACAGATTTTTATCGATAGTTGCCTATCGGGACCGTGTGTGGACTGAGAGAACAGCAGATACCCAGCTCAGGAATATATACATTACAATTCTTCCTGAAGTGAATGGTGCAAGATGTAGTCAAAAACTGTCCGCAAAACCAAAAAGAGAGATGAAAATTATTCTTTTTTGATTTGCAACAATATATGCCGCTACCAACACAATCACTTCATTATTAGAGTGCATTTTTTCCTTATTTAATTTTAGCAGAATTAGCTATGAATGTTTTAGCTATGTTCCACACCCTCACGGAATAACTAGCAAATTCCTTGCCGCAATTTTCCGCGGTGCTGGAGACAGGCCTTGAAGTGGAAAACCGCCAGAGGATTTCCGCTTAAAAATTTCCGCCGTGCCACAGAATTCCGAGCGATTTCATTTTTCTTAGCATTGTTACAAACCAAATTCGAACTAAGGCTAGGGTTGACACCTTTCAAGATTCAATTCGAATAGGGTTCATTTTGCAATTTTATTTATTTTATCATATCAAAACAATTTATTTTAATTTTTTTCTTTTATGATATAAAATAATTGATTTTTCAAAGCTGTACGTTTATAATTTCAAAGCAAAGAAACATCCCATATCGTGCGAGTCAAACCAAACAATGTACTCCGCAACTCTAGGAGTTGTCTGGAAACTTTCCAGCAATCAGCAGCAATCAGCTGTTAAAAAAAACAGACATATGAATTTTACGGTAAACTTAATTAAATGCTTTTACCGAGACTGTTGGCCATCGAATAACTACGGAGGCAACATATTAGAATATAAACCTTGCAGCGCAGGCTTCTCAGATGCGCATCGTTGAGACGATACGTATGTGGTTTTTGTGATTGTTTTCTCAAACTACTGCTAATTTAGTTCATTACAATTATCAGTTTTTGGTATAATGATCGCTATGCTATTTGTGCTGCCATGGATCTGCACTTAGCCGAACAGGGGTTTCTGACATAAATGCAATGGCAATAATATGTAGAAATGTTTTGTTAGTTCTGTTTTTACATTTTGAAGCGATGCCACCTGGTAGAACTACAAATGACTACAAATGTTTTCACAATTTGCTCAAAAACTATGCACACGTTTGACGTAAACGAAGTTTTACTACAATGAGCTATTTTTTTTAATGCTTAATTAAAGAAAAATAGAATGCTTTCAATATAATTAATATTAAATATATTGCTCCGAATTTGACTAAAAAAAGGTGGCATTACTGTATTAACTTCGAAAGTCGGAATCGCCCTAGGTGGCCCCCTCGGTCTGCAGCGGATTGAGAGCGGAATCGTGAAGTGAAAATTCAGTCAGCGGATTGAATAGTGATTTACTAAAATGCTTATTCTATTAACTTGAAATGTATGATAATAAATTATTTGGATGAGGGTTCACCACCAATTGAACAACCTTTATGGGAATTCGAATTTTTTTGGGTGTGTATTTAATCAAATCGCTAGATAAATTGTGAGCGATTTTGATTCCGCTAAAAAATCGGTGTGTGGCACGGCGGATTGGAATTGAGGTGATTTTCCAGCGGAAGTGATTTCTGTGGCACCCCTGATATTCTATTTTATCTTCGAACATTTGTTTTGCCGCCTTCCACTATCCACATTTTTAGTGTAAGAAAAACTATTTGCACTCAATCTTTTTGCTTTTGACTGAAGATTTTAACTGGAGATTTCATAGTCGGAGGAATGAAGGAGGAAGAAAAGCTGGCCTTCGAGCAGAGCTGTAGGTGTGATCTGCAGCATTCCTGGTAGACGCCAGAGGCATAAGGCCCAGAGAGCAGTCCATCGAGAAAAGCACCCAACTAGGGCTTGGGTCTGGTTCCCCTCTAAAGGAGCCTCTTAAAGCGATGTAACAGACAACACTTACTGTCTCAGCCCCAGAAAAGTCCCAGTCAATCCCTTTGACTTTAGCGAGAGAAAAATCCCAGTCAATCGGAGAATGATTCCTATGCCTACAGAATTGACAAAACTGTTGAGGGAAGATCGGTACTTTCGCAGCGAAAACACGAAACGCAGTGGTTCCACAACGGAGCAAAAAAACAAATGGAAAGGCTAGCACAGAACATGCCAAGGCGTGAAAAAGAAAAGTGCTGATATTATGATCATAGAGACAAAAGAGAAGGCGTCCTTCGCTAGATTTTAAAGCTGTTCGGCTTGCTTCTGAACGAATGAAGATATCTTTTAATGAAATAAATACTCTCGAGAGTAGTTTCGAGTAGTATTTTTCTATGAAAAATAACCAAAAAAGCTCACTAAAAAATGGTTAACTTTGAATGCTCATATCTCTGAACATAAAATATCGATTTTCTTAAGTTTCCAATTTCGAAATCCTTGGAAAATTCTCTATTAGAAGGGTATTATCCAAAACGCTCACTAGTAAAATAACTTTTGGCACCTATTTTCGGCTGAGGCCACACTGTGCGACGTCGCAAATGTGAAATTCTGTTGCAACTCAATGGTGCCACCTTGGAGACAACTCAGCAGCTTCGAGACTGTAGAACTGTTTGTATCTATAAACTGATAATATCTTACAAACCGCAAGAGTGCGTTACGGTGTACACGCAGAGTCTCCGAGAAGGACTCTTTCCAGCACAATGGAAGACCCTGCACCTTATACCAAAAATTGGTAAACTGCCAGACGACACTTTCTCGTATCGCCCGTTTTGCCTGATCGATTCAATGGGGAAGACTTTGCAGCGAATCATCTGCGCAGGACTGGAGAGGCGATGGACGAAGCTTTGGGGGCAATCTGCCAGCCAGTTCAGCTTTCGAAATGGCATCTCAACGGTTGACGCCATAATAAGAGTTGTCTGAGGCGGCAGAAGGAACTCGATGGAAGGGTGGCAAAAAGGAGTATTGATTAATTGTTACACTCAATATCAAAAACGCCTTTAACTGAAATCGGAATGCATCACTGACTTACTGAGCCAACTGGGCATCCCTCTATACCACTGGGCAGCGTCAGAAGCTACTTCAAGCAAAGAGTTCTGAGCTTAGCATCCCCATCGCATTTTGGCAGGCGTTCCCCAACGATCGGTGAAGGGCCCACTTCTGTGGAGCATCGTATACGACGAAGCTATGCGGCTTACATTAAAAGACGGCTGTCAGCTAATGTGCTACGCTGATGACGAGGCACTCTCAGTGGTTGCGAAGGATCTGATCGCGTCAAGATCAACTTGCAATGCGGCCATTCAGCTAATCGCAGACTGGCCTCTGTTTATGGGGCTCGAGTGGTGGTGGTATGGAGCTTCTCACAAAACGGAGGCAATGTTAGTCAGTCGAGCGATTGTGGAGACTGCGCTCATCAGGATAGGAGACCAGACCATAGCGTTGAAACGAACCGTTTGGCGTGATAATCGATACCAGGCTCTGTTTTCGGGAGCACCTGAGCTACGTGCTGGAGAACACTCGCGGACCGAAACAGGAGAGAAGACTATCGCTGACTAACGTTGTTCGCTCATCCATTACTTACGCTGTAGCAGAATGGGCGGATGGCATTAAAGTCACCAGCCACAGTTTCAGCGCGGCACCCGATAATATTTAAATATGTCGGGGGCAGGAAATCTGGGTGCTCTTCCTCCTGCATTGTAGCACTTGAGCGCAGTGAGTCGCGGCTATGTGTTCTCTCCTTCAATTCTGTGACCAAACTGAAAACTCCTCTTCTCGTTTTCTTCTTTTCGCTTACGCAATACATAACACCGTATTGCATCATCCAATTGCTCTCTTTAGCAATTCCCTTTTGATCCTCCTCTCTCTCAGAGGCATCGTACACACAACCGCGCCACACTCGGCTGAGACGACTCTCTCTCTCGTTCTCAAACCTCGCTCTCAGCAACAATGTGAATAGAAGGAACAACGGATTAATTACTGCGTAGTTTCTGTTCTCCTTTATTGACATAGTTTCTTAACTCTATACATTTCTGTTTACATTTTCATCAGTTTTCATACATCTTCATTATACATCTCCGACACGGCCTTCCTGACTATCACACGTCCTCGTGTGCATACTGTAACACGAGGTTGGTATCATTCTTACTTTACTTCTCTTTTCATCTTTCAAGATCATTCAAAAATATAAATCAAACAGCACACAACTTCATATATTGTGTCTTCAAATGTCGGTTTCGCAGGCTTCTTACTTTATCTCTCACAGTGAGCCACATCAAACTCGCAACACCATGTCAGCCGCGCCACACGCCATGTCAGAACACTTCCGGTTCTACACTTGTGCCTTCGACTTGACCTGGATCATCTGTCTTAGTAGCTCGTACTCTTCTGCGCAAACCCGCCCATTTGGCTATTCTCGTAATCAAAACACAGTTACAGGCTCTTGCCGCATCCTTGCGACGCTTTGCACCTCTTGTGCCACGATCTACTCAGATCCAATGTCCATCACACAACATCACCCATACCTGGCATGAATATTGTTGACTAAGTCTAGCCCCTGCGTTTGATGCTTTCTTCACCTCTCTTAGGTGCGAGAACGGGTCTTACGACCAGAGTCTTTTTCACCACTGTCGTTTTTCTCAACATTCTCGTCAGAAATCTGCTCATCCGGCAAACTTCGCAAACTCTCGTGCGAATACTTATACGTTCGCTTATTGGTCAATGATTTCAACAGGTATCGATCACCTTCCAGCAACTCCGCAACCACAAAAGGTCCTTTGAATTTAGGATCCAATTTTGTCTGATGACGTTCTTCACTTCTCAGCAAGACATGATCCCCAACCTTGTGTTTTACTATCTTGGCCTTATTCCTATCAACTCGCCCTTTTTCATATTTCGCATTATTTTCCATATTTACTTTGGCTTGAGCTCTTGCCTGCTTACAATCCACTTTAGCTTCATCATTTATAGGCAACAACCCCATTGGCCTAGCCTCTCTTCCAATGAATAGTTCTAACGGGCTAAATTTCGTTACCCTATTTGTCGTACAATTCATGGCTAACTGAACTTCACATAGTGCATCCTGCCAGGAACGTTCACCTGTCTCTACAGCTGTCAACATACTTTTCATTGTGCTCATGACTCGTTCAACCTGGCCCTACTTGCACCTGTCGCTATCTAATGTAATTCTATCTTATGCATTGAACAGAACTCTCGAAATCGTCCACAAGCGAAACTTCTGCCTTGATCTGCAATGATACGATTAGGTACCCCAAAAAGCGATATGGTCGATTTCACAGCCTTAATACAGTTTTCTGCATCCAAATTCAAAGTATGATATAGGTGAACAAATTTAGTGAACGCATCAATTTGCACTATGACATATTCCTTGGTATCATTTTTACCACTCAGCTTTCCACTTATATCAATATGCACAGTATGCCACGGTATTTCGACTTTGGGAATTGGATGCAATTCCATTTGAATCTTTCCTGATGGAGGCTTTGACAGTTTGCATGTTATGCAGTTCTCTACGAATTTTCGTACATACTTGGACATGTGTTCAAACCAATACTGCTCATAAACCTTATCTAACGTTTTCTGCCACCCCAAATGCATTATCGCCTCATGCACATGATTAACCACTGACCACCTGAAGGCTCTCGGGATTAAAGGTAGACAGCGCGTTTTACTATTTCTCTGAATATTCCGATATAGAACTCCTGCTCTTAACTCATATGTTTTCGCCAAATTCTCCTGCGACTCCCCACTATTCAGCTGGGCTATGATAAGCACGAATCGCGCCGCTGCTCAGCTACAAGCCAGTTGTCCGTCACCTCAGTCAGATCGATGCGGACTTCGGTTGCCCTAATTATGGTATCACGCTCAATGACAATCGGATTTCGAGATAAAAAGTCCACGTGCGCCATGCGACTTCCCTTGCGGTACTCTACAGTGAAATCAAACGACTGTATATATGCCCACCAGCGGTGTACTCTAGGCATTAGTTCTACATTAGTACGACTTGCTTTCAACGAATTACAATCCGTAAAGATCAAAAACTTTCGACCGTGAAGGTAATGTCGGAAATGTTTTACAGCGTTGTACACTGCCAGGGTCTCTAGTTCGTATGAATGATACCTCGATTCTGGGGGCGATGTACACTTGCTATAGTATTCAACGACTCTAGACTTGCCGTCTATTTTGTGCATGAGTATTGCACCATAGCCATCTGCACTTGCATCCGTATGCAGCTCGATGGGAAATTAGGGATCAAAGATAATCAAAACAGGATCATGAGTTAGTACTGAGATAATTTTCTGGCGTATCTCTTCATGCTCAACTTTCCAAACGAAACTATTAATTTTAGAGGTTAACTGATATAAAGGTTTCATCTGTTCAGAAAACTGTGGAACAAACTTACGGAAGTAAGATGCTAAACCTATAAATTGTCTCAATTGTGTAACAGTCTTTGGTTCAGATAGTCCAACCAGAGCTTGTATTTTTCGCGGATTTGGTTCAATACTACCGTCTTTGACCAAGTATCCTAGATATTCTATTTCAGTTTTGAGAAATGAGCATTTTTTTATATTAAGGGAAAATCCTGCTTCCGATAAAGCCTTTAGCACTATTACCAATCTGTCAAATGATTCCTCTTTTGACCTCGCGACTATCACTACATCATCAATGTAAACAATTGCATAGGAGTACGCCAAGTCACCCAGTGCTCGCGCTATAGCTCGCTGAAAAATCGAAGAGGCATTTTTTAGCCCAAATGGCATAGATAGAAACTCGTACTGACCCTCGGGAGTTACAAAGGCGGTTCGCTCTATGGATCCTGCATCTATTGGAATCTGATAAAACCCACTGGCCATGTCTAAGCAATAAAAGTATTTACCCACACGCAATCTGTTAACTTGATCTGATATCAACGGCAAAGGGTATTTGTCAGCCACTGTATTTGAATTGAGCTCTCGATAATCAACGCATAAGCGATCACTGCCATCTTTCTTCTTAATTAATAAAATTGGACTAGCGAATGGAGAATTACTTGGACGTATTACATTTGCCGCCAACATTTCCTTGATTTTATCTCTTACTAATTCTTTTTCATCTACACCAAGACGATATGGACGCATCTGCACAGTCTTGTTGGCGTCTAATAAACGAATTTCTAATTCTCCAGTCGTGACACATCTACTCGGCATTCCAACAATGAAATTTTCAGATTATAGATCAAAAATGTTCTTAAGTTTACACTTATCATTATCATTTAAATCAAAATGATCGTCAAATAGCTTATCGTAATTTGTAATGGTTTCATTGGAAATCGCATTAATCTGTTTAGTTTTAAAAATATTAAATTTATCAGCGTCCATCGTTATGCCGAAGCCAAGAGCTAATATTTCACGACCAATCATTATGTCATGTTTCAAATGCTCGTCCATAACTACATTAAACATAATTTCCAGATTAAATTGACAAATTTGTATAGTAGACAGTGTGACGACTCACAATTTTTATAGTTTATAAGTAGTTATAATTGGTAGATTTAAGTATTGAGCAGGGACACCATATGGAGGAATTATGAAGCTTATTGTATATTATGAAGTTTATAATTTTGATTATTATTAAATAAGTAAGGTGAAATTCTGAAGTTGTAATTTAAGTTCGAGACCCACGGTAGCTAGCAGAGCAAAGCAGAGCGACCTAGAGAGCAGAGCAAAGCAGAGCGACCCAGAGAGCAGAGCAGCAAAGCAGAGCGATCCAGAGAGCAGAGCAGCAGAGCAGAGCGATCCAGGAAAAAAAAACAGAGCAGCAGAGCGATCCAGAAAGCAGAGAACCACAAGCAGAACCGAGAGAGAGCGACGACGAGAGCCGAGAACCCCAAGCAGAACAAGGAACGAAGACGCGACCCAGAGAGCGAGAGAGAGCAAGGGCGCCGGCCGCAGCCCGAGAGCGGCCAACCGCACGAAAGCCACGGGTGTGGGCAGCGACGGCAGCAGCGGCAGCGCAGCCCGGACAAGGGCCGCAGCTAAGGGCTCGCGATCGCCAGGCAGAGCTCGCCTCGAGTTAGTTAGTTTTTGGCAACCAGGAAAACCAGTCGCGATCGCGGCGGAAAACAAGGGCGCCGGGCGAGGAGACACCTAGAACGATCTGCTCTAGAAGATCGGGTAAGCGAGGCTGCGTGATGCATCCCCTTTTCTTGGCTGAGTCTGGTGCGAATAGGTAGGGACGTAGGAAACGTAAATTTCTTCACTAAGCTAGGAAAAGACAAGAACAAGGAAAGGAATAAAAGGAACAGAACTAAACAATGTGCTCGGATGTAATAGTGTAAAAGTTAACCCTTTCCCCCTCCCAAAGTGCAAGACGGTAAGTGTGGTCGCCCACCGTTGGAGGCTCCGCTGGGCTGGTTGCAGGTCATTACCGCGCCAGACCGCGGGCTCCCAAACGGCGCGTGCCTGTCTCCGGAACGGGTGCTGCCTAGGTACTACCAGGGGCACTCGAGTCGGAGCAGACAGGGGCGGCTACACTGCCAGAAGGCGCCTCCGCCAACCACCGGATGACCGGTGTCGAGTAGGTTCCCCTTGTCGCCCCACGCGCCCACCTTTCCACACACGGCGTCTCCATTTCCGCAATCTCGGGTCCCGGCACTTTACAAATTTCTTTGTAAAGTGGCCCTGGAGAGGCTGAGCTTACCTCAGCCTTCGAAAAGACTACCTTACAGATGGCGCCCGAGCAGGTGCGTTTCATTTGTCTGTGAAATTAGTTAGTTAGTTTTTTTTTTGGTTTCCCTGAACATAGGCAGGTCTGCATGCACACAAGTGCACTTCCCAAACGCCTTACTGGTACACCGGAAAACGCACGTGCACAGTTTTAAAGTAATTGGCCAGGGTTTTATTTTGCCCGCGTTTCGGCACTATTGAAAACTGCCCAGTCTTACGGAAACTGGGGCACCCAAACGCAAACGTGCACAGTTTTAAATTCATTGGGCAAGGTTTTGTTTTGTATGAGTTTCGGCACTTTGGCCAATTTCCCAGTTTTGCGGACACTGGGCACCCAAAGTCACACGTGAACAGTTGGAAAATCATTGGTCAAGGTTTTGTTTGTTTCCGGTTTACACGCTGATGCCGAAATGAACGGGAAAATGCCCAGTTTTCAAGGCACTTATACGTGCTAGGGCGAGGCATGCGGGAGTGAGCATACACGAGGTTCTCAGGGTCTACAGAGCATACAGAGTACACATTTCGGAGCTACGAGGAGCAGAGAGATCGAACAGAAAAGGGTTTTTTTTTTGGGTTATCGCATCTACGAAGGTCGAAAGAGAGAGAGGCGGGCCACGCAGCGCTCGTGAACTCTCGGTCACGATCGTTCGGCCGCACATGAATTCCCCATAAATAGAGCTGGCAGAGCATCAACGAGGACAGTCGACCCAGAGTCATTAAGCAGTGCACATCGTTCCTAATCATAAAGTCTTGCCAAGTGGGGAAAAAAAAGACGATAGGGGTATACAACAAGGACCTCGCACCAGATACTAGAACCAAGGACACCCCACAGGATAACACTAGGATACAACAAGGATACTAGGAACAAGGACATCGAACAGGATTGGACTGAGAATACACCAAGGCTAGAAGCAACAAGGACATCGAACAGGATTGGAGTGGGAATACACCAAGGATAAAAGCAACAAGGACATCGAACAGGATTGGACTGGGAATACACCAAGGATACATTGCACAGGCATTGCACGGGACACAACTGGCATACAACAAGGATACCAGCGGCACAGAAATCAAGGCACCGGACCCAGGACACAGGAGCAGGCTTCATATAGCATCATGGTGGGGGTAGCGTGGATCTCGTACCGGCGCAAGGCGGAGCTGGAGGCATTCGCTAAGGAATTCGGATTGGAACGAGAAGGCACCGTGGAGGAACTCCGAGGCCGCATGTCTGCCTTTGTGAATCGTGGGGGACACTCGGCTATCATCCAGGCCCGCTTAGAGGAACTTGAAGACGCCTTTGGACGAGCACGGACTCCCGACCCCAAGCCAGAAACCCAGCAGCGATCGCGGAGCCTGTCGCCTTCTACGAGTGGAAATGGAACCCAAGCGAAGGAAATCCCACAAGGAGAACCAACCGGACCGGGTATGCGATCCCTTGCGATTCATCGAGCGTTTGGAGGAAAGAGCCGTCTCACACCGAGTCGACACCCGAAGTTTGGCCCAAGGAGTGCCGGAACTGTTAAAAGGTACTGCCGAGGACTGGTTCCGCACGAGTCATCTACAGGGAGAGCCATGGAACGTGTTTCGCCGGGAATTTTTGGATTTCTTCCTACCCCCGCGGTACTTCCAGAGACTGGAGGATGAGATCAGGATGCGCTACCAGAGGGAAAACGAGGGATACAAGCAGTATCTAGTGGACATTCGCCTAATGATGAACCGCGCTGGTTACTCGGAAGCCCAGGAACTGGAGCGGGTGTACGAGAATCTGCTGCCCGAGTACCAGTTGTACGTGAGACGCATAGACTTCCGCACTTTCAAACAGCTAACGCAACTGGTGATAAACTTTGAAGTCACCCGGGAACGAGAGCATCAATGTCAAGCCAGAACCAGGACAGGACCAGCAGCGGCGCCAAAGCGGG